CTTCAATATATGAATGGAAGAGGGGGCACAATTTAGCCCCTAATAATACAGTGTTTGAAATTTGCTCAATTGTTGTAAAGATGAACTATATGCTGGGAATCTATAATAAAGTTCAACATCTGGGCATCCCTAATCATTTCTGTGGGAATGCCTCTATTCGAATGCTGGATGAATTCTTTCAAGCCTTACCCATTAACTTTCCCCATAAATACAATGTAGGGCCTTTACGTCCCTCTATAAATGTTTAAATCTTATGAGATTGTCTTCCTTTCTGTGTGTGCGTGTGTTTGTTGGGGGGGGGGGGATCTTCCAACATGAATATCTTGACTTTATGTATGTCTGCAGAAGCAATCAGAAGCAAAAGCAGTTCTCATCCAAAGTGCTGTAGTCAGAAAGACCATGAAATCAGGAGGCCTAGGTTGTTACTACTTCAGTTGCTGTATGTGTATGATCTTTGGCAAGCCTTTTCACCAATGTCAGCTTTAATTTCCTCATCTCTAAAAAGGTAGACAACATGCTCTCTGACATCCCACTCAGCTTCAATATTGAGTGATTTATTCATTTATTCAGCCAATATTGTCAACTGCTACTATGTGGCAAACTGTTTTAGGAATTGGGGATATAGCATTAGTTCAAGACAAAGTCCCATATGGGGAAAATGGAAAACAAATGGCAATATGGTAAATTTAATACCAACCATATCACTAATGACAGTAGATGTAAATGATCTATATAGCACAATTGAAAGACAGAGATTACCATGCTGAGTAAAAAGGAAGAACCAACTATTTGCTGCTTGCATGGAATCAACTTTAAATATGAGATAAAAGTAGATTAAAAGCAAAAGAATAGAAAATTATATGCCATGCTCACTCTAAACAAAAGAAAATAGAGTGGCTGAATTAATATATGATTTCAAAGCAAGTTATATTACTTGAAATAAGGAGAATCATTTAATAATAATAGAGGACGTCATTTCATAAAGAATCTAACAATGAGTTATGCATACTACAAAATGTATGATGCAAAACTTAGTAGAGAGTATAAGACTATAGAGATTATAAACAATCTATGGGTCAAAGAAGAAATCAAGAGAGAAATCAGAAAATAGTTTAAACTAGCTAGAAATGAAAACAAACCGAACTGTAAAATATAGCTTAAATAGGGAATTTTATGGTACCAGATGACTGTGTTAGAAAAAGACAGGCCTACCTAATGTCAGAGACTTTAGCTTCTATCTTAAGAAACTAGAAAAAAATCTAAGACTAAGTGTACTGTAAGTAGAAAAAAGAAAACAAAGATTGGGACATCAATCAATGAAGAGCAAGCAGGATAATAGAGATCGATGCAAGGAAAAACTGGTTCTTTGATAAGATCTTTTTTTTTTTTTTTTTGGACAGGCAGAGTGGACAGTGAGAGAGAGACAGAGAGAAAGGTCTTCCTTTGCCGTTGGGTCATCCCACAATGGCTGCTGCGGCCGGCGCACCGCGCTGATCCGAAGCCAGGAGCCAGGTGCTTTTCCTGGTCTCCCATGCGGGTACAGGGCCCAAGCACTTGGGCCATCCTCCACTGCACTCCTGGGTCACAGCAGAGAGCTGGACTGGAAGAGGGGCAACCGGGACAGAATCCAGCGCCCCGACCGGGACTAGAACCCGGTGTGCGGACACTGACTCACCTTGAACAAGAAACCAGGGCAGAAATAATGGGCTGTCACTTCTGAGATTATAAAAAATCTGTATATCGGCCGGCGCCGTGGCTCTCTAGGCTAATCCTCCGCCTAGCGGCGCCGGCACACCGGGTTCTAGTCCCGGTTGGGGCTCCGGATTCTGTCCCGGTTGCCCCTCTTCCAGGCCAGCTCTCTGCTGTGGCCCGGGAGTGCAGTGGAGGATGGCCCAGGTGCTTGGGCCCTGCACCCCATGGGAGACCAGGAAAAGCACCTGGCTCCTGGCTCCTGCCATCGGATCAGCGTGGTGCGCCGGCCGCGGCGGCCATTGGAGGGTGAACCAACGGCAAAGGAAGACCTTTCTCTCTGTCTCTCTCTCTCTCACTGTCCACTCTGCCTGTCAAAAAAAAAAAAAAAACAAAAAAACAAAAAAAAACTGACATATTTCTGACCTGACTGTATAGAAGAGTGACAAGAGAGATATTAATACCATGAAATAGAGAGGTGATACTATTAAGGATTTGATGGGTATTTTTTTTTCTTTTTCTTTTGCTCCCCCCCATAGGTATTAAGTAAATAATGTCGAATTATTATGTATAACTTCATGCCAATAAATTTAAGAAATTAACTGAAGTGGACAAAATTGTTTAAAAATACAAATTACCAAGAAGAAATAGAGATTACAAATAACATGTATTTGTTGAAGAAATTATGTTTGTGGTTCAACTCCCTCAGAAAGACTTGAGACTAGTATGACTTCACTGCCATTTCTGCCAGACATCTAAGGAACAGTATCAGTTGTGTACAGATTCTTCCAGGAAGCTGAACATGAGGGAAGATATCTCAGCTCATTCTGTGAAGCTGGTACTTACTTGATACCAAAAGCAGGGGGCCAGTGTCATGGCGCTGCACCTTCGGCCATTGCTTTTGACGCTGGCATCCCATATCAGAGCACTGGTTCAAGTCCTGGCTGCTCTGCTTCTGATCCAGCTCCCTGTTAACACACCTCTGCTACCCATGTGGGAGATCCGGGTGGAGTTCAGAGTTTCAGGCTTTGTCCAGGACCAGGAGCTTCTTCCAGGTCTCCCATGGGGGTACAGGGGCCCAAGCACTTGGCCCAAGCACTGCTTTCCCAGGCTATTAGCAAGGAGCTGAACCAAAAGTGGAGCGGCCGGAACTCCACAATCGCTCATTTGGGATGCCGACATTGCAGGCAGAGGCTTAACCTACTAATAAGCCACAGCACTGGACCCCAGTTAAACTGTATTTTAAATCCTTACTGTCTTATACTCACAAACAACTCTGCTTTCTTGAGACAGTACTTGATGTACTCGAATGGGGATTCTTGGCATCCCCTAGTGTTACACACAAAATTTTGTCCTTGGCTTTAAAGGGATCTTTGGAGGTGACCGTGACCCAAAAGGGATTCGAGTAACTGCCCCGGGGACTGACAGTGCTGGACTCAGCTGTGCTGGTCCTGCAGCAGGCATGGGGGTGGGGTGGGGCAGGGAAGTTTGGCTTGCCCAGGGTCACAGATGTCTGACCCACACGCACCTCGGATGGCTGGGTGGGAGCAGGAGCCAAAAGGAGCTCCTGCTTCTAAGGGCCCTGGCCCTGAGGAACAGGTGAGGTCTACAGGTTTCTTTTTAACATAAGCGCCCAGTGCTGACCTGCAGTCAGAGCACAAGCTCTGCTCGGTGCCATTCAGCACTGGACGTGCCTGCCGCGTTAGAATGCAAGTCTCACAGAGTCACAGAAACTGGTATGTTGTGGAACAGTTTTGCAGAAGCAGACACACACGATTGGCCTTAGATCAATGCATTTTCCCACTCTTACTGTCACCAATTTACGTTAAATAATGAGGCAGAAATCTTTAAGTTACTGTCTAGAAAGAGTACATTTTAACAAATCAGGTCAAGCACAGTTAAAAATGCATGTTTTCAAAACAAAGGGCCACATTTTAGCTTATGGCACATGTTACAGAGTATTTTAAGTCTCTGCTTTTTTGTCATTCTTTTTGTTCGCCACGTCCACAGTGACCGCAGGGTCTCTTTCGGGATGGAAGCAAATGCAGGTTCCAGTTACCAGCTGGTAATGGCTACTAAAGAACAGTGTGACGTCTTTCTCTGTAGCCGGGAATCTACCAGGAACAGGTTCCTCTGCCGGGGAGCAGAAACCTGCTGCTCTGTTAGGATGACTGGCTCAGGCACGCAGGCCACTCCCCTGCTAGACGGAAGCCGTCACTCGTCCACGCAGTCATGAGTAGAGGCTCTTTGCCAGCGTCACACACGTACACACAAGGACACCGGGGCAGTGAACACTGGAGAATTTATGGTTTTCTTTTTAGAAAACTGAGGTGGTAATTGCCCATACCTGGGAGGGAACTGGGAGACTGGAATTCTGGTTGTGATTTCCTTCTGACTCCCCACTGTACAGATGTTCACAAAATAAATCCTCATCCTTCTGGCCAAAAGTTCACCCCGAGAAATTCTTTTAACCTAAATGGACTTCTCTGGGGCAGTGGGAGTGGGTTTTGCTTACCCCTGCCCTGCTCTTACCGTGTGCTTCCTTTTGAGGCCAAAAATCTAAATGTGCCTTCCAGTTAAGGAAAAGCTGCGACAGTTGAGAGAACGCTACCTGTAACTTTAAAAAACTGAAATACATCTTAAGACACTTTTCAACAGATTACAGGAGAGCTTAAAGCCTCTCCAAATGCCACGTTGCTGCCCAGGATGTTCCTGGCCGTGCGGATCACAGGCTGCCCTCTGTAGCATTGTCTGTCCTCATCCTGCTTCATTTTTCTGTTCACCTTCTGAGTCAGAGACACACAAACAACATACACACCCTCGTCGTCATTACACGTGCCCCAGAGAAACCCCAGCACAAAGGCAGCATTCCCGTCTGTGAGGTAGGGACGAGCTTACTAACTTGTACTTTTTTAACAGCCTCTTCAGCCAAGTACCAAGAAGAGAAACACAGGAAAGCCGGCAGGGTTGTGATTTTGCTGCAGGACGAGCCTGTGTCTTGTCACGGTGGTTGGTCACCGTGCGGTTTGGCCTGTATGTCACCAGAAGAGAAGTTAGGATGGATTTTCAGTACCTTCCTTCCGCTCTATTCCGTGGTTCACCGTTGTTCTGTTTGACATGGTCCCTCAAACTTTATGTGGAACCAAGTCCCCACCACCGTGTGTTTAGGCTGTTGTCGCGTCTGCCTCACACAGAGGCTCAGCCTTCAGTCTTTTGTACTATTCATTTCATTATTTGCTCTCTAATTTTAGCCTGGAAATGAGTTTTTCTGGGTTGAAATTGGTTAATAGTATTCTTCTTTATTCTTACAGCTTGTACCTCCTTTTAAGCCTCAAGTAACATCTGAGACAGATACCAGATACTTTGATGAAGAATTTACAGCTCAGACTATTACAATAACGCCACCTGAGAAATGTAAGTAGATCTGGAAGGCACTTGATAACATTCTAATGTAACTGGAAAAAATTTTTCCTGGAAAAAAAAGCATTTGATACTTTCTAGGTCAAATTCCACAATGACTGACTTCTTTCCATTTAAGAATGTGGAGTTCCCAGGGCGGAAATAACACAAGGTAGCTGTGGGGAAAGCTCATCTGGGTAGAAAAAATTATATGGAGAAAACTTGTAACAGAATCGCAGGCTGATTTGTCTTGCGCACTGCTCTCTAGCAGGACTCTGACGTCAGCGGGTGGGGTCTGCGCTGGAGACCTCCTCTGGCCCAGTCTTGCTGTTCCCCACGCCACCTTCCTGTCCTGAATAGTTTTAAGATTCGCATTAAATTGAGTCACTCCTTTTTACTGAGCTTTCTCTTAAGCAGTAATACCTGTAAAGACACAATTTGCTAGTAATTTTTGATACGTGCAGACTCTGATTTATTAAAATTGTTAATGCACCACTTCAGATTGTTCCATATGTAGTAGTATGTGCCTCGCAGTATGAGAACTACCATAAGTAAGTGGATTTTCAAGAAGGAAAGGTTATCATCCGTAATTTTTAAACATTCTCATGCTGACAAAGGTCTGTGTCTGTCATTGACTTACGAGTGTAGATAGGATTGAGCTGGGGTAATATTTGAATCACTGCAGGAATTTTAATGTCACACTTTTGGTTCACACAATAACATCATATTTTTCTCTTTTTTTTCCTTTATGTCCCTTTTTTTCCCCCCACTCTCTTGCCTTTTAAAAACTTTTTGAGAGGCAGAGGGAAAGAGGGGGAGCAGGAGAGAGAGAGAGAGAAAGAGAAAGCACACTGGTCTGGGGCTAAATTTAGAAGCCAGGAGCTCCATCCAGGTCTCCTATATGGGTGGCAGGAACCCAGTCACTTGAATTATCAGTGCTGCCTCCCGGGTCTGCTTTATTAGCAAGAAGCTGGAGTCTGGAGCCTGAGCTGAGAACTGAACCCAGGAACTCCAGTGTGCCATGTGGGCATTTTAACTGCTAGACTAAGCATCCATTCTCATTGTTTTTAATACACAGTTTAGTTGATGGTGCTACTACATTTTGAGTATCCATCAGAGGGAAGGTTGACATGAAATAC